ACAATTACACTTATGTTCCTATTTTTATATTCACAAATAAACATTGGGGAGCTAGGAGCTACAACAAGAAATCAGTTTGTTTGGAGTTATCATAGTTTGGGCTCAGGGGAGAATTTGTACACACACACACACACACACACACACACACAAAAAACTCTTTAAAAGTCTTTACATCCCAAAAATAAACAAATATATAAATAAATGTCACATGTTGGAATAAACATGGCACATTGTAGAGTTCAAAGGCAAATTTACAAAAAAAAAACTATTATTTACTTAAAAATAAATTAAATGTGTGTTTAATATTGTGCAATATTAAGAAATATTAATTAAATCTCATAGTTCTGCTTCATCAATAAAAAGATAATACTTATATTCAGAAATAGCTATAATTGCATCAAAAGTAATGGTTAAGCTGCATTAAGGAACAAATGCTTACACATAGATCATAGATTGTGTAGTCACTTTAAGAGCATGATGGGGTGAAATTTGACCTCAGCTCTCATGTACTGAGGGCCTTTCCCCGATTTCATGCCAGAAATACCAAAACATAAGCATTGCAAAGACACTAAGCAAAATGACAACAGATATACATAAAAAAAACTTCTAGACATGCTGTAAAATCAAGTAATGTTCGGTGTTCAAGAATACTTGTTGAATGTTTTTCTTGTTTCCCCCCTTCGGTAGTTTGACGAATCATGGTCTATAATTAGCACTGTCCTTTAGCTGGAATGGGCATAGAAGGTTGAGCATGCTCCCTCTCCCTGTGTTTACTGTCAGGCGCAAGGCAGCCAGCATGTTTGTGTCGAGTGTGGGTAATGGACGAATTGTTGCCTGAAGGCAGACACCACAGGAAGCCAGATATCTGGTACGATTCACTGATGCATGTGCTAATATAATGCAATTGACTTAGCTTGTTGCCAATAATGTGACTGATACTGCCTTCTTTTGACATGCCGGAGCATTGACCTGTTTAGCACTGACCCTTAGAGCAAGATAAAATTATTGGTGCATTAAAATGATCTCAATATGATTCTGTGGACTTTCTGTTAAAGAGTGCACTAGTATGTTGCTGCCAGTTATCATTTAGCTTTGGCTAATAATTTGTTTTTTATCTCTACAGATACAACTTTTGAAGGACCTCCAGGATGTATTTAGGCTAACGGTAACACTTCTCTAGTTTTAAGCTGTCCAGAGACAAAAAAAAAAACAAAAACAAAACAAAATGGATCTGAGAGCCAAGCATGGTTTGACGCTGTTGGAACAGCTAAATCGAATGCGGGATGCTGAGCAGTTAACAGATGTGGTTCTAGTCGCTGAAGGTGCAAAAACAAAACAAAATGGATCTGAGAGCCAAGCATGGTTTGACGCTGTTGGAACAGCTAAATCGAATGTGGGATGCTGAGCAGTTAACAGATGTGGTTCTAGTCGCTGAAGGTGTTAGCTTCCCATGCCACCGTGCGGTGCTTTCCGCCTTCAGCCCCTACTTCCGCGTAATGTTCACCTGTGGCCTGCGTGAGTGCACCAACCGTCAGGTGGTGTTAAGAGACATGCCGGCCCCAAGTCTGGCCCTTCTGCTGGAATACATGTACAGCTCCAATCTTCCACTCACCGCAGCCAATGTGCAGGGAATCTCTGTTGCCGCTTTTCTTCTACAGATGGATGATGTTTTCAGTCGTTGTCATATCTACATGATCGACAACATGGATGCTTCCAATTGCCTGGGCATCTATTATTATGCCCGTGATCTAGGGGCGGAAGAGTTGGCCGACCAGGCTCAGCGCTATCTGCGACAGCACTTCACTGAAGTGTGCCTTGGGGAGGAAGTGCTGGAGTTGGAGGCACACCAGTTAGGGGCATTATTGGGCTCAGACGATCTCAATGTTTCACGGGAAGAGAGCATTTTGGATGTGGTGATGTGCTGGGTGAAGTACTGTCCAGGGGGTATAGGCTCAGAGGAAGAGAACCGGGCCAGGCACCTTCCTGAGCTCTTAAAGAAGGTACGTCTTCCACTGGTGGATGCAGATTACTTGAAGGGGACTTTGAAACGGAACACGGCACTTCTAGCTGATGCCGAATGTCTTCAGATAATGGAAGAGGCAGTTGAAGCAGCGAGCTTGGATTCAGATGCTCCACCCCGTCGACTGAAGCTGCGCTATGGCATGGAGACCACAGACCTCCTGCTCTGCATTGGTAATGACGGCGGAGGCATTCGCTCACGTTATGGAAGCTACACAGAGCGTAGCTTCTGTTATGCTCCCAAAACAGGACGGACCCTTTTCATCACCTCCCCAAGATATGGTGATGCACTTGGATATGTCTTTGCTGGGGTGGTGACTGAGAGGAATGACATTATTGTTGCAGGAGAGCTGGGAGCAAGAACGATGTCAAGACAGAAAGACAGAAATGTCGAGATTTTCATGTGAGGCTTTGGCAGGAGAAAATGAAAATAATACAAGATATGTTTTCAACATCATATATATGCAGCCAAACCTTAAACTATTAGAGTACATAAAATTAAGATTAGAATTTAAAATTAAAATGAGATCAAATCTACCACATTATCACAGACAGTAAAACGTACAATTCAAGAATCTAATATTTGCTATGGCCCTTTCAGGTACAACAAAGAAGCTCAAGGATCCTGGAAACACTTGAGCTCAGCAGAGTATCGTGATTCTTACGCATTGGGCTCTTTGGGAGAATACCTCTACCTGATTGGGGGTCAAATGAAGCTGAAGAACCAGTTCCTCATCACCAACAGTGTTGAGCGCTGGTTTCTACAGGGTGGACCATGGCGTAGCGCTGCTCCTCTGCCCATGCCACTGGCCTATCACAGCGTAGTTCGGATGAAGGGCCGCCTGTATGTGCTCGGGGGACGGACTCCACAGGTAATATACCAAAATAGCGCAAATTTGTCATCTTTATGGTACAATCTGCAAATATATTGCACAAGAAGAGTCATGAGAATGTAACATTGATGGTGCAAATGAAATAAATCACTATAATTTGGAAAATAAAAACAAGTGGGGATCATAGTAACGGTCTGTTTATTGCCTTCTCTATTTCCCTCTAATGCACCTGTCCTGCCATGTCTTATGAACGACAGTCATACCGCACAGATGACGAGCCTGACCGTATGAGTAATCGCCTGCTTGAATATGACCCAGAAACCAACAAGTGGAGTGAACTTGGCCCTATGAAATATTCAAAATACCGTTGCAGTGCAGTCGCACTCAATGGGGAAATCTATGTACTGGGTGAGAATGTTAACAGGATGAGTACAAAGTAATAACTTCTTTTATATAAAGGATCAATTTTTGTGATTGTGGGTTAATATTTCCATACAGTGAGACCTGTCGACTAATACTGCTCAACACAAGAAACTTATGACAGTAGTTATCATTACAATGGTTCACTCACTTTCATGAAAGCATAATCTCACCTATGTGTGAGACCCTGGTGTCATTCTTCCAAAATGTTGCTTGTTTAAATTTTACATTTGTTGATTCACCTTAAGGGGAAAAAAGTAATAAAAACAACCTAGGCATAGCCCATGAATGAATTTCAGTGTCTCCTCCTGCAGGTGGTATTGGGTGTGAAGGTGTGGATCGTGGCCAATCACGTCACTGCCTTCATGTAGTGGAGATCTACAACCCTGATGGGGATTTCTGGAGGGATGGTCCTCCTTTACCGTGGCCTCTCTTATCACTTCGCAGCAATGCATCAAATGCTGGTGTTGTTGATGGAAAACTTTATGTCTGTGGATACTACAAAGGAGCAGGTAAAATATGTATTGTAATATGAGTGTCAGTTCATTTACTTCAGCCTTCAACCTGATGTTAAATTAATGCAATCACAAAATTCAATTCAACACTCATTTACAACATATAATTAAACATGTACTCCACTCTTTTCCAAGATCGTCATGATACCATCACTAAAGACATCCTGCAGTTGGATCCCTGGGAAAATGTATGGATTGTGGTGGCAAAGCAGGCTCTGATGCACGACAGTTATGATGTGTGCTTGGTGGCAAATCTGAATCCTCGTGGACTCATGCCCCCTCCTGCTGACTTGGTAGAGGAATGACAACACTATCTATTCAACAGTGATTTCCCATTTTTTTTAAAAATGCATTTTTAAAAAAAATGCTTTTTTTTCATTCACAAGACAACTGAAAACTGTAGATATAGGGAGAGGAAGGCTTTCATAAATAGTTATGAAACAATTTTAATTTATAATGCTGCAAGTGCATTAGTGATTATAATATGATATGTTTTACATTTTTGGATTTCAGATAATATTACCAATAGCTGAGGTATATAGTATGAGTTAAGATACGTGGATTTGAGATACTCACATCATTTACAGCTCTGATTAAGTAACACTCCAAGAAGCAGTGCTAAAATATGATGTTACTTTAATAGCAAAGTAAATATGTATTGCAGAGTTGCACAATATAGTACATGTACTGTAACTTTAAGCAGTCAATGCAATTTATTAAACATGTTAATTTGTAAAACTTAACAATGGCTAAATCTATGTCAAGTTCCAACTGCAAACAAAGTTGAATATATTTTAAAACTATTTTATACCTGTTGATGTTACACTAGGTTTGTCTAAAATATTTGTAAGACCTAAAAAAAATTATGCACAAATTTCTCGAATATGACATGCCAAAGTTACAGAATGTGCTTGAATGTTATTGCTTTAGAGTCATACGGCATGAGAAAAACAGAAAAAAATTCTTTCAGATGTAGCAAAGTCTGCCTATTTGTCTTTTTGTTTTTATAATCCATACTTCAAAAAGAATCAACAAGGTAAAGCAACAGAAGAGGAACATGTCTATAGCAAGGAAAGTGGTTAGAGAACAAGGTTTGCATGTTCACAGGCAATTTCAAGCTCTAACTTACAAAAAAACAACAAAAAAAAGAACATAGGAGATACTCTAAATAATTTCTCAAATGTAAGTGTAATCAGAATACAGTATGAAAGTATTCTGCATCTTATTCTGAGTCATTAGTGAAGTCAAAAAGCTGCCAGAGGCCACCTTCTCCTTCTATGACACTAGCTTTAGGTTCAGGCACCACATTTTCCCATTCAGACATCTTGTATTCCACCATCATTTGGGAGCTGTCTGTGTCCTCAGACCACAAACTGAAGGGGTTTAGTGGTTGTTCAGCTACACACCTACTGACTGGTTTTACGGTGGCTTGCTGCTGTAGTTTTAAGCGATTCTCTGCAACAGACTTGTTGGTCATTTTCCAGTTGTCACCAAGAGAAGCCAAAGGTACTCTGTCTTTTTGTTCACACTGAAGGTCTTCATTCTGCTGGCTGTCCTTTGAGAAATTTGCTCCTTTTTTTCTCACTGGCTGTCTTTGTGGGAGAACCAGGGCTCTCTTTTTCCCCCTATAATTTAGTGGTTTTTGGCGCCTCTTAGGTACTTTCAGTGGTGGCATTGCATCAGTGACAAATTGGTTCTCTCTCACATGCAGTGGTTTTTCAGGCTTCAGGTCTACATTCTGTCCCCAATGGTCCTCTATGGATGCAGTGGACTGAACATCCACATGTGGGCTTGAAGGTCTGGTCTCAACTAATTGTGTGCCCCATAAACTCTGCGAAGCATCAGGGAAAACCTCCTCTGTGACTGTCTGCTGTCTTTCTTCAGGCAGAGCGTGTGCATTTCTGTTTCGTGTCTTCTGTGTTGTGAGTGGACACTGGTTCTGCTCTGCTGCTTTTCCTGAATAAATGACAGGCCTGTTGCATATAATCTTGCTCTCGTGTTCTTTTTCAGCTGATATGACACAGAACCTCTCTAATAAACCAGGTGATGTCTGGACCTCACTGTCAATCATTCTAGCAGAGCCAGGTCCTGTCATCGGCTTGTGAATAGAAATCAAAGTACTAAGCTGAGACAGAATTTTTCCCAGCATGCCCTGCTCCTTGCTCTGCTCTGCTTTAAGATGTTCCAGATCCTGTTGGAGGTTAAGCATGCCTGAGCTCAACTCTTCTGCAGCCAGACTGCTCTGTTTAATAGAAAATAAATGTGGCTTTCTTACCAATGCCAAAATAAAATACATTATTGAAAGCTTTGCATCTATTGCCTCTGATATACAGTATGTGCAGTCCTTACCTTGGCATCCCTGTCTCCCATATCTATTTGTGTTTGGCTCTGCAGAGTCTCAAACTGACATGTTATACCTTCTTTCACACTGTTTAAATAACCTTCAACTGCAATAGACAACAATGTCATAGGTTATAAATAAATAATATTTACAACATTTAAAATTATTTTAAAAATTTGTATCTGAACAAAAAGTATCTTTAATGATATATCTGTGGAATTTAGGGTGCCAGCATGGGCTAACTGTTAAGAACCATCTGCATATAGTTAAAATAATAAACAAAACATAGGAACAAAAACATACTTGTTTTTGAAAAAGTATCCAATTTCTCCATTACAAGTTTGGTTATGTCATTACTTCCATCAATGCGATTTAACAAAGTCTCTCTGGTCTAAAAGGGAAGAGGTAAGTCAATTATAGTATTGAAACCATGACTCTGTGCAATATAAACATTCTAAATGTGTTAAACACGCATGTGTGCCCTAAGTACAATGCTTACATTTTCCAGAGATTCCTGCAATTGTAGAATTCCATGAGTGAGAATTTCCCTAAAAAGGGAAAAGGTAATATTAAACAATATGTCAGGACAGAACCAAAGCAACGTGAAAAATTACAATAGGAAACTACAATAGAATCGTTTTTCATTGCACAAGGATTAAGAATAGGCTGATTACCTTTCATATTTTTCTTTGGCTTTTCTCTTCTCCTCCTCAAATTTGTCCAACATGCCAACAAATTTGCTACTAGTGAAGTTTGAGATTTTGCCATCACCACCAAACAAAAACGGCTTCGAACTATAACTGCTGGACACCATCATTTCCTTCATCTGTAGAGGATTTAGACAATTTGGAATTAATATGAAACTTAAAATATTATAACATTTTACAGACTTGTTCACAACAACATCCCATTAATTTTCATTTATTAAAGTTTTGTGGACCAAGGAAAAAAACAATCAAGTACATGTTCATTTTATTATACCAGATAAAACATGGCATGTTCTACAGACCAAATAAATAGATAGTTTAGGCCTGAAATATTTACCTCCTGTGTGGTAGTATGCTGAGAACCTCTGCTCTGTCCACTTATCTCCTGAGTAAACCCTTGTGAATTGTCAGGCCACATTTGAGAGCCCAACAGAAACTGGGAGTCACTCAGGCTGGAGTAGTCACTAGTTCCCTTAGCAGTTTTTATCCCTCTATAACAAACAGAGCGCAGAATACACATAAACATAAATATAAACACTACATTATTAGGCCCTATTTCAAGGTAATTGATTGGGTAAGTGTAAATAAAAGTAAAAGTTAGCTGACAAATTCTCTAGTACAGAATTCAGTTATGAGACGTTACCCAGAAGTTGCGGGGATATTCAACATCTCCTTTATATTCCAGACATTGGGCTTCATATCCAGGCTTTCAGTGTCAACACATTTATTTCCACTAGAAATAATAAACATGAAATCAAAACTACTGCAAATGACTTGTATTTTGATTTAAACAATGACTTTTGTTTTCAAAAATATTGTAAAATTTATCTGAGCGAACGTCAAATGTCAAAAATTACGGATCACGCGCGAGGTCGACGTCTCCCGTCAATAAAGCTCAGCTAGTTTTCATGACTAACTAACGTTAGCGAGAAAACAATCGTTAGTTAATTTCTAATAAGTGATGCTTACCAGAAATGTACTTGTTTGATATGCAGTAATGATTCTGAGGCAACGTAAGTAAATTCTGGCGCGAGTTGATGCTGGCAGTTACGGTTTAATGAAGCTACGTGTACGTGACACTTTTTAACAGACTGCAGCAGTTTTCCCGGGCTACAGAATTTAAATAGTTCACGCAGCCAGTAAATATTTACACCTACATTTCTCCATTATTTATAGGAAAGATCGATAGGTGGCGCTATTTAAATACTTATAATGTGAGCGAAAATATTGTAGTTTGTATCACAGTATAAATTAATGATATTAGTTTTTTTACTGTTTATTTCATTTTAGTTTGTATGCAATTTTTGCACACATCTATTCAGTTATTAATGAAATATAATGACATTATGATGGCATTGTACAGTGACTCGTGTAGCTAAATCTGCTAGTTATATGCTTGGGACATTAAAAAGCTTAGTGCGGGGGTAGTCTAGGTTTACTGACTAGTCGATCAATCGCGGTTCACCAATAAACCGAGTCGCTGTTGAGAGCTAATAAACTGTATCCTAGCAACCACAACCACGAAAGCTAATATCTTCATAATAAAAGTCATAGAGTTTAGAAACTGTAAAGCAGCTCATTCTGATACTGCATCTCACATATATGTCCATTAATTTCACCATGAAAATACACCGATATGTTTTTGAGTAGAAACTTTTAATGCCACAATGAGACATGAAATCTCTAATCTTACAACGATATTAATTTCTGAGATCTGTTTCTTACAATAGTTACTAAATAGAATTCGCATCACAACCTGAGCGTAAATTATTAATAAAAAATTATATAATAAAAGCTGTCTAATAAGCTATACGACAGTGAAAGACTTGTATTTTGGCAGTGCAGTTTATTAATCAGGAAGTAAAGTCCTGTTGTCTACAGATTTCTGACACATTTAAACTTGCGCAACACAGGTAAGTTCACGTTTTTAATATCATAAAATCTGTTTTATGTCGTCGGTGAACGAAACAGTAATGGCTTCTGTTTTAATTATAGACTTTGTATCATGGCATCCTAATTATCCATACAGCAAGCTAAAGTAATTAGCCAGCTGCTCAGTAAATAGGCTGTTGAAGAACTTGTTTGGTGGGGTAGCTTGTTTGTCGTACAGTATGTCTTAATAACTGGTGGTAAAATGCCATTCTTTAGAGAATATACACCCACCGACCTAGAAAATAAATCTGCATTACCAGTGTAGAATTAACGCCTCGGAAGTGGCCAGTCGTGAGATGATGTGTTGTGCAATGCTCTCAGAAAACACTGATGGCTCACACTTGATATTGCCTCACCCCTACAGTTTTATTTAAATATATAAAATAACGTTCAATTTATCAGAAAACGGCTTACCTCCAACTGTGGCATTTTAGAACAAACACAATGGGTTTCAGATCCATATTGACTCTATCTAACCCCCAGGAGTAATCTCATCATGAGTAGAGCCTACTACATCCTCAGTGCTGCTCTTTTTGTGTTAGAAATTCCAGAGACCAAGGTATCTCTTGCTTTTCTCTTCAGGAATCTTTTCACACAACATTCAGTATGTGAGAACCATAACTATTGTGAATACATTGGTTACTGCAATGCTCTAAAACTGAATTTAAGATCTCTTCCAATCTTAATGTATTTTGGATTTGCATGTGTTTCAGGCGCTGCTAGAAAACTCCAATGACTGTTGTGAAAGAATAAAGAGAATGAATGAAACCTGTGTGAATACTACACTCTGTGATCCTGGTATGTTTCTAAAGTAATATCATTAGTAAAATATAAACAGAGCTGCAAATAAATGTGCCTTTTTAATACAACATGAGCAAATTAACACATGAGCACATTTTGTTTCTGTGTAATGTTATATGTAATTGACATGTATTTGGTATAAATTATATATTTTGTAACCTTGATTCCTACTCTAGGGCTCCTTCAAATTCAGGAGAACAGTACAACGTTTTGTGTGTCCTGTGACTCAACAGAGCAGGGCAATTCAACTTTACTTAACAATAGTAAGTGCTGTCACATTAAAAAACATCTCTATATTTTAGAAGATTGCTTGTGATGTATTTATTTTTTTAAGCAAACACACTTTATGCACATGCATACATCATTCCTCTATCTTGCTTGTTGAAATGTTTAAGAAATAGTTCACCTAAAAATGTAAATTTGCTACAAAATGCAAAAATGCATTTGTTTCTTCATCTAAACAAACTTTTAAAATTTAGCATTACATCACTTGGTTCACCAATGGATCCTCTGCAGTGAATGGGTGCCGTCATAATGAGAGTCCAAAGAGCTGATAAAAACATCACAATAATCTACAAGTACTTCACATAACTCCAGCCCATCAAGTAACATTTTGTAAAGTGAAAAGCATTTTTGTAACAAACAAATTTAAGATGTTTTTTACTTCAAACCGTTGCTTCCGGCTGAAATATTACTCCATAATCCTTAATATTGCTTTCTCCAGTGAAAAGTCGCCTCGTTGGAATCAGAAGATAAATATGCACAAATCAAGCACCATTTACTAGGAAAAAAATCAAATTCTAAACAAATATGGCAGCGGTAAATTTGCTACAAAATGCACAAATGCATTTGTTTCTTCATCTAAACAAACTTTTAAAATTTAGCATTACATCACTTGCTTCACCAATGGATCCTCTGCAGTGAATGGGTGCCGTCATAATGAGAGTCCAAAGAGCTGATAAAAACATCACAATAATCTACAAGTACTTCACATAACTCCAGCCCATCAAGTAACATTTTGTAAAGTGAAAAGCATTTTTGTAACAAACAAATTTAAGATGTTTTTTACTTCAAACCGTTGCTTCCGGCTGAAATATTACTCCATAATCCTTAATATTGCTTTCTCCAGTGAAAAGTCGCCTCGTTGGAATCAGAAGATAAATATGCACAAATCAAGCACCATTTACTAGGAAAAAAATCAAATTCTAAACAAATATGGCAGCGGATTGTGATGTGAGAGGACAAAAGGGGATTCACTGGAAGAAGCGTTCATTTCAGGGAGTAAATATTCAGCAAATTTTCATTTTTGGGTGAGCTATTCCTTACAAAGCTAGATGGGCTATTTTTGATGTATTTCGTTTGATGTATATATATATATGTGTAATTAATATTATGTATATATATTTTATCTTCCTCTAGCAAGGACTAGTCACATTCCAGTACCTTTAAACGCAGTGATTGGTAAGTTACTACCATTGTTTAATGCTAGTTATGTGGACAGCCCAAAAAAAAAAAGCTTTAAAAAAAATGTCTATATTGATTTGCACTCAGGAATCTCATCTTCTGTGCATTGTGTCTGTAATGGCAGGTGGTCCAGGTGTAGCAGCTTCTGTCCTTCTAGGACCTCTACTGATCAGCCTGAGTCTCATCCTCTCAGTTGCATCTTTCTTTTACCTTAAGCGCTCCAACCGCCTCCCTGGTGTCTTCTACAGGCGCAATAAGGGTAAAAAAAAAAGTCTTAAAATCCAGAAATATGTAAATCAGTTAAAGCTTTGGTTGACTTTGTTTACCCAACTGTGTTGGATATTTTATGTATGTATGTATGTATGTATTATTATTATTATTATTATTGGTAGTGTTTTGGAGTGTTTTTATTCAAGATGAATTATAGGAGGGTTGTAAAATTTTAATTTTATATTTCAGCTTTTATATTCCAACCAAGTGAGACAGTAAGACATCTATAATCAATTTGTTTTTTGTCTAAATATGTTTGATGTTATATAAACAAACACAACATTGTGTGGATACCAAAGTACTAACTTGTTCATTTTTCTAACAAGGCTGTCATGATTCCTGAAGCTACATCTTCAGGTAGGAGAAATTTTAACTACTGTATAATCTGTATTTTAAATTTAATCAAAGTTCCAAAGTGGTGCTGCATTCTAAGTCCAACTGTGCTAAATTCCAAAACATCTATTGGGAATATCTGATTATTAAAAACTTCTACTTGCTCTGTTTAATGTATACTGTAGGTTGAATGTGACCCTTATCTTTTAAATCATCTACAGTTCGCAAACCAAGATATGTCAGGAGGGAGAGGCCGTCAGCAACATCAGCATCCAGCAGTGCTACTGTGGCAACAGGGGCAGTAACCAAGGTATACAATGTGTGACCAGCCTCCAAGGGCCAGCTATGAGCCCCCAATAAAACATGAGCCTGTCCTATAGCACTGTTTTCTTATAGGATTTACTTTTTTGGTAAAAATTTTCCTTTGTAGGCAGCATGAAGAAGTGATATGTCTTGATGTAGGCTTTATCTTGGAAACCTTTTCTCTTCACTGAAGCCAGTTATTTATTTCTATTTATATATTTTTCACATAATACGTTGTTCCTTTTTTTAAGAGACCTGGTGTTGCACTACTAGAGTATTTTTGATTGTTAAGCTATAATTCAGTCTATTAAGTTGTTTTTTTTTTCAATGAATTTTGTAATGTTTATATTTATTACCAGTATTTTTGTGTAATATTGTACTTTTGAATCTTGTGACATTGAAACTAGGATCCAAAAAAAAAAGACTTCCGCAGTTAGTCATATTTGCACACAACCTACTCCTCAAACCTTATCAAAGTAAAAAAATTAAATAAATACATAAATAAATGGACATATTTACCATTGTTAAAATAATTGTTTTGTACCTGTATACACAAATAATATATTTTCTATTCATTCTGTACCGTTTCCACAAATTCCATTAGCACTTATTAATGCCATATACATATGCTGGAAAATACCCTGTATGAGCATTGAAAATACTCCTGGCTTAGGTTTCAATGTTAACAGCATATTCATGTTCTACTAACAAGTGTGCATGAAATATCCACCTGTTAACAATGCCACATTCCTCACTATATTCAACATAAAAGATTCTGGCTTGCACCAAAGGTTTTCCCAGGTAAATAATGATGAATTCAAATTTGCTAGGCCTTAAATTTGCAAACTTGCTGTTAATACACAGTATATAAGTAAAGTTGTGGAAAAACTGTTGCCAAACACAGTTACCTACTGTATTTATCCCATCTTTCCATTGTGTAAGACAAAGTGCCATTAAGTGAATGTGCTAATGAATGAAGACCTATAGTCACCATTTTTGATTTTGTACATTTTATACAAAATTGGAATGTAAAATTATGAAAGAATTTTAGTAATTTTATCTTGTTTCTTGGTTGGAAAAACAAACAAACAGCTTGATATCATTGTAGTGTTATAAAGAGAGTGATACACTGGTATTTCTATAAAAGGAGTCAAAGTCAGTTACATTTTTTAACTTTATTTTGTAGTTTATTGCAAATAGTGGCCTTTAAAATGCCATATCATCCCCATGCCTATATGTTTATGATTTTCTGTGTAATTTTTAGGTTTTCTCATTTGTAATAATGGTTCTGTTTATTTAAAGGATTATTATGATTTTTCTACACATTTTCTACTTCATTTTAGGAAGGGTATTTGAACATTGTTTTGTGAAGTTTCAAATCCTTGGTATGCTGGATTAAGCAAAAGCTAGGAATGTTTACTTAAGGTGAAGGTAAATGATGTGGTTTCATGGGGATACGTCAGTGATACTGATTCTAGAATATAACCACTTAAATTCAACCTATTTCTCGTGTCATTTTATTGGCTGTTGTGCAGCAACTGGAAAGCATGTCAGTACATTTTGTATATGAATTATGTTTAGATGGATGTTGAGGATGATGAACTTTTTTTGTATGTTGATGTCCTAACAGAGTGAGTATTGATCACATATTGAGTCATATTTGATGAAGATTTCAGTGTTTACAGAAATAAAAGATATTTTGATTTATGAGAAACCGTTTACTTGTATTTACTTAATATCATATCCTTGCAAAATGTGATTTAAAAGGTGATGCAAAGAGCCACAGTGCACAAAATAAACAGTCCAGGTGGTGGCTGGTGTTGATCATTAAAGACTCATTTGCCATATAGAGGTTCTGGGAAGTGGTAGAGTAAGGGCATGGTAGTTATACAACTCTATATAGCATTTTAATTGCTGACGAGTATTTTCATTGTGTTATCATCTTTAGAATAATTATTAAAATGGTAAAATATTAGGTTGAACTTGTGTCAAAAACAGTATCAGGAAAGCGCTCCTGTGAATGTGACCAATCACCAGTTTACAGCTGTCTGTGGTAAACAGATGGAGGGACTTTGATCCCATTTACCTATAATATTATAAGCACTTCCTTATAAGACACAATAGTATCAGAATAGAGCAAGTACCATGTGACTGTCTTTCCATTAGCTCAGTCCTCTGTGATGTTTGTCATGTCTCACTATTTAACACAAGTGCAAATATACGCATTTCTAAGGGATTATTTAAAGCATTCAGCACAAGTGAAGTCACAACAACGATTTGGCACACTATAAAGTAAAAACGTACTCTGTTACTAACGTAACCTCGGTTCCCTGAGATAGGGGAACGAGTACTGCGTCTGCTAGACGCATATGGGAAAAAGCCTTTTTCTCCTGAACTGAAGCCTTTTCATTCACGCAGTGAAACTGCACGGCCATTGGTTCGTGCAGTGTATTAAAAACGAACCAATGGCTAGGCAGCGGAGCTGCACGAGCCTATGGCGACGAAGCCCGCCAAAGCCTGCCAGAATGGCTATATCTGGCTATATAAGCGGGCGTTCGCCACAGGATTCTCAGGTTACTTCGACTGAAGCGACGACTGAGTCGTGCAGCTACATAGCACGGCTAGCAACGCAGTACTCGTTCCCGTATTTCAGGGAACCGAGGTTACGTTAGTAACCGAGTAAGTTCCCTTTTGATACTACACTCGTACTGCGTCTGCTAGATGCATATGGGAACACAGTACAATCACGCCGTGCTAATGTAGTGGAACGACTAAGGGTATAAAACTTCCATAAGCAACCAATGCTCATAGAGAAGTTAACAACAACCCAAGGCTAAGACGGGCTGGTTAATCGTTCCAGAGTACTCCTGTAACTTAGACACCCAGGGGTCAAGAGCTAACAGGTGAAACAATGCCAGAAAACTTGAGCGTGATACGGCCAAGGGCTCTCTGCCAGATCTGTTTACGCAGAGCATGTCACTTCAAGCGGAAAGGACCCTGGCCTGCAAGGCCAACCTTGCGAATGTGGACGGTGAGGCCCAGCCGGCTGCCTCACAAATATCCGCAATGGACACACCACTGGACCATGCCCAAGACGAGGCGATGCCTCTAGTCGAGTGGGCCCGTACTCCAATGGGGCATTGGAGGCCCAAAGAAGAGTACGCTAGCGAGGTGGAGTCTACTATCCATCTAGAGAGTCTTTGCTTCTTAGCCAGAAGCCCTTTGGTGCGGGGTGCGGTTATGACAAAGAGTTGTTCCGACCGCCTATAAGGGGCGGAACGTTCAATATAGATTCTCAGAGCTCTGACAACACCTCTGTCAAATCGGAAGTATGAGGGTGTCGATTCCAGCTGCGAAGGCGTGTCAACGGCAAGCGGCTTCGGATCAGCTAGAGTCGTCGCTGAAGGAGAAGAAATCTGAGAATCCTGTGGCGAAAGCCCGCTTATATAGCCAGATGCTATATAACTATATTACGGCTTCGTCGCCATAAGCTCATGCAGCTCCGCTGCCTAGCCATTGGTTCGTTTTTAATACACTGCACGAACCAATGGCCGTGCAGTTTCACTGCGTGAATTAAAAGGCTTCAGTTCAGGAGAAAAAGGCTTTTTTCCCATATGTGTCTAGCAGACGCAGTACGAGTGTAGTATCGAAAGGGAACACAAGTTACTGCACACACCCTCAGTGAAAAAAACAAAAAACAAAACGTGACTGTTGTTGCACATGTAAACATATCCCAACCATTTTCCTTATACCTGGCTGCTTATCACCAATATATTCAATCAACAGTCATGTGACTTATTGTTGATTTGTGGCCGATTTCTTTAGCATTATGGTTTTTTATGCACATGCAATGTCTTATCAGTTCCCATAAGCATTGTTTTTGTGGAACCAGATGAATAACAATTACCATGCAGACTGTTGTAGTTTGTCAACAACATTTTTTTAGAAGATCCCCTTTCGTTAAAGGGACAGTTCACCAAAAATGAAACTAGTGTCATCATTTACTCACACAAACCTGCATGAGTTTCTTAGTGTTATAGAACACAAAAGAAGACATTTTAAAATTAGTTAATACTAATATTAACTATATGGCTCCGCGTTATCGTCTGGGCAGAATTTTGAAGAATATTGATAACCAAACCGAATTTTTTCCACAATGTGGAAGTCAACCCTAGTGAAAAATAAATATACTAAAATGTATTTGAAATACGTCTATTTCACGCTATGTATACTATAAATACATTTACATATTTATGTGCTTAATAAAAAATACCCTGCACTTGTACTTTTAGTATACTTAAAGTCTGCTAAATTGGAACATCTAATTTTGTACTTTATGAATTTTAATTGTGCAGAAGTAAAGCTGAAGTCCAGCTAAAGATTTACTTAAGTATATTTGACTGTGCTAAAGAGGAACTATTGCAAGTATACTTCAGGTACACTTCAAATATCTTGCATAATAAAGATATTATTTAAAGATCATACAATCCTCATCAATAGTGACATTAAAATTGTAGGTTTAATATTAAGAAATGTGCGTTGAGCACAATTAGTACTCCAAATAAAATTTAATTGTAATTTTCATATCAGTAAGTCTTGAGCGATATGTCTGTAAAAAAATAGATTTTAACTATACTTAGTATGAAATAAATGTATTTTAAATATATTACTTTTTTAGGGAATGGCTACCGTCAACTGTTTGGTTACCATCATTCTTCAAAATATATTGCTCAACAGAAGAAAGAAACTCATACCAGTTTGGAACTTGAGGATCTGCAAACAATGATTTTCATTTTTGGGTGAACTATTACTTTAAAAAATACATGCATTTTTATGTGTGAAAAAATATTCAGTTGCAGCGCCTGCCTTCTGTAACTTGATTAAACTATTAAAATCTGAATAATTCACAATGCTGTGAATGAATGTGCTTTAAAAGTTGTGTAAAACATTATTTGCTATGCTTTGTCATTCTTACGTTAACTAGGGTATACAATGACAAAGCGTAACCTAATCTTGTCGGAAAACCAGTTCCTTCTTCCCTCTCTTTGTCATCCCTCCTGCTTTTCCATAATTTGCACAGGTACGTGTGTCAGACGGTGTATGTGTGAAGGAGGGGTTGAGGATCTGAGAGAGAGAGGGAGAACAAGGTAATGATTTATAGTTTAACTCATTTGAGTCACAGCTCAGAAGTATAATTCAAACTTGTAAAGAGTAGGTGAACGCAGTTACACTTTACCGGAAGACCAAGACAGACAGGTCTGGAGAAAGACCTTCAAATTTTTGAAGACCTTTTCAAATTTTTCAGCCTTTATTTTGAACCCATCTACGCGAAGAAGAAGAAATCATCAACAAGATAAAAAGAATACTGTATTCCTCTTTTAAGGTAATACTTTTTTCTCTTTTTTTTCCGGTTCACACTGCCCCAACAAACAAATAAAAAAACATTTGTCTGTTGAAGTTTGTTGGATCAGCAGTTTAACCATGTGTTTGTTGAGCTAATGTGAATCAACTGCAAATTTAGCAACTGTTAATATTAGCATTTGTTGGGGCAATTCCTTTGATCCAAATTGGAGATGTGTATAGGCTACTTGTCTAGTCACAGTACAAAAAATGTAAAAACAAGTAAGTGTTTTACATTTTAATCAGCATCACATATACCTGTTCATCAGTCCTTGTCTGAAACAGTATTAAAAAATATTCCTTTCATGATTTTTTTAGATATTTGCATATGTTCTGTCTCAGCATCACCTTCATATATATATATATATCATATGCATGGCATTAATGATGCCCATAGCAACCACACTTTCATGTGGTTGTTATTTGCTATGTCAGATACTGCTAGCTGTCCATGTGACCATTTGGGATTATAAAATTCAAAAAGGATTTTGCTCTTTTCTCATTCATTCAGTTACAATTCATTTTGTATTTCAGATTTTCTTCTGACCACACAACAGGATGGAGGAACCGGAAGTATCTACAGCATCATGTACCAATTCAATACGGCACCAACATAAGACACTGGTCTCCGGTGATGACCAGGACAATGCCTGGGATGCCGGTCCGGAGTGTTCAATCTGCTTTTGCACATACGACAACACATTCAAGACACCGAAGCTTCTCGAATGTACCCATACCTTCTGTCTGGAATGTCTGTCTCGCTTTGTGACTATTTCACCAGAGCAGGAGGGTACCCAGATCACCTGCCCTCTTTGTCGGCAGCCAACATCCGTGCCTGAGCACGGTCCTCCAGATCTGGCCACCAGCCAGGAAGTTTTGGGCCAACTTCCAAGCGACCAGCAACAAGTGGAGAATGTTTTTCTAGATGGAAAGAGGCTGTGCTACTCAAACCCTATGATACCCAACTGTGTCTGCATTGACATCGGGGAGCATAAACCAGAGGAGACGCCAAGAATAGAGGAGAGAAGAGAGGGCAGTGGACACAGGCTGCTGCGATTCTTGGGTTTTTATGGAAACTGGAAGAGGCTTGTGGTCTTCATCATAGTGCTTCTTGTGGTCTTATTCGTTATATTGTGGCCCCTCCAGTGCTTTATCATCTCAAGCTCCATGTCACAATGCTTCGGACGATCACCAGCTATACTCAATTCTCCCAGACCTACAGTCGGTACCTAAGACACACAGGTGGACACAAGAAGTTTTTATTCAAACCTGGAAACAGTTTAAATTTCATGAATTGCAAATGACATTCAGGTTGTATGGGCTACAGTCTAAAAGCATGACTGATAAGCTGAAACCGCAGCCACAACCTTTACAGCTTCATACGACAGGAAACCTGTTTTGGTTAAAGTTCTACTTTCTCATTTAAACTTTTACAATTTTTTGCACGAAATTTCATTGTCATATCACATACTTCCTAAATGCCACTGTAAATATTTAAAATTATTTTCTGTGTTTAAAACAGATGAACAAAATAAACACCAGGGTAAAAGTTTTTATAATTGACACTTTTTAATAGGATCCTGCTTGCAGGTTTGATTGCTTTGGCTGGAACCAAAATAATAAGCCTACAATTTATTGTGTTTATTTGCAAAATATATTTTTTAATTAATTAAGCATGTATATTGACTAATGAGTTTTTAAAATGGTTGTATTAACAGGAAAATTTATTTTGTAAAATATAAAAAATATTTTAATCAAATGTATCAAATTTCTCACTATATCTGTTTATGTATATTTTCACTAAATGAACATATTTTTATTGCTAAATAATTATTTCCTAAAACTATTCCATTATTTATTTAAAATATATATCAAATAGTATACTTCAAATCCATTAACATTTATTGTCATATCACTTAAGATTTACTATTATAAAATTATAATTAAACTTTATTTTGAGTATTTCTTTATTGCACAATGCCTAAATGAACATATTTTTATTGCAAAATAATTATTTCCTAAAACTATTCCATTATTTATTTAAAATATATATGAAATAGTATACTTCAAATCCATTAACATTTATTGTCATATCACTTAAGATTTACTATTATAAAATTATAATTAAACTTTATTTTGAGTATTTCTTTATTGCACAATGCACATTTATTAATATTATGCCTAAAATGGGTTTTAATATCACTATTAATAAGGATTGTATGATTTCTGTATAATATCAGTCTTTAAATGCAAGATATTTAAAAGTGTACCTGAAGTATACAGTACTTGCAATAGTTCTACTTTAGCACAATCACATAGTATATCTTTAGTTGGACCTCAGCACTACTTCTGCACAATTTAAGTGCATTAAGCATGAAATTAGTTTATTTAGCACACTTGAAGTAGACCAGTTTAGTATACCAAAAATACAATTGTACTGTATTTTTATTAAGCACATAAAAAAAATATGAGATTCATCCTTGTTGAGTCAAGTTTTTATGCGTGTTAATAAAACTGCCACACAATCAATTTGTAAACATATTTCCAGTATTTTGTAACATTCTGCTATTCGACTAATTTTCTTTTCACCTTATTTCACCTTATTCATCAAAACCACTGTTCACTCCAAATGTTTTATACTAGCTAACTCATTGGTTACAAATCGTCCATTGTTCAGTCCGACTCATCAACGGATCGTTCTGGGCTGCGTTTCCTAAAGCATTGGGAACCTCCGTGAAGTTGGCACCCCATAAAAAGAAATAATCTCTACAAAAAATAAATATTTAAATGTATTTGTAGTATACTTAGCAAATGCATTTTAGTATTTTTTTTCCACTAAGATATTTTTGCTGTTTTTTTTGTAAATTTCTCTTTTTTTTTTTAACTAAATAATATACTAGAAATATTCTTCTAATATATTTACAGTAATATTTAATGACACTATATAACACTGTCAGACTTTTATTACCATAGATAAGTGGTGATTGATCCTAACTTGTTTTCACAGTGTTACTTCCTGAAAACCATAAAAGCTAAGGATTTTCCGTCCAGCATGTTGTTCAAGGATTTAACCCTTTTTTGAATAGCAGCCTAGCTAATCATTGACAGATTCGTACCATCTCCCCAGAGAAACCCTATTTATAAATGTGAAATGGAGTGCCCCTCTGAGAATGCAAGACACATGCACACTTCCATGTGATCAGACACATAGCTCTATTTATAACAGACCTGGATGTAGGGCCCCTCTCTCCCACACGCAAGGGCAGTGGGTTTTTTGTAGGTGTACCATGCCAGTGTCGGATCAACATTGAAGTGTTTCGAAAGCATAACTAACGACTAAAGGTAGGAAAAACATAAAAGAAATGAGATGTTGAAAAGATTTTTAATGGAAGCTGACTAGATGCAGAGTTTGCGGAGCTAGAACTTTGTGGAAATATTTTCCATTGGCCTGTGCTGTGTGTGTGTACTAGTGCTACTATACCAAATGAACTTAACCATGTAAGCAATGAAAAAGGACATCATGCACAGGGTATCATTAATATTCATAAGCTAATAAAGAACTAAAGACTCAGTTTGTGTTTTAAGATGGCTGAACTGAATAATAATTGCAAAACAGTTATGATGTTCCTGGGAAAGAAAAAATTAAAATGAGCCTATAACTGAATGCATTATCCTAATACTATATGAATCTCCACGTGTGTTTGCAAGAAAACGCCCCACAAACTAGATAAGATAACACTGTTTACCACTAAAAAGTTGTAAATCATGATTGTCATTCTTGGCATCAAGAGACACATCTATGTCATGTCTAAGCAATTGGACCATGCAAAATATTTGCAAAAGGCAAATCACCCAAACAGCACATCATGCTGCTGTGTTTTATGTGGGGCTATTTCCTCTCACTGACATCTTTCAATACACAAATCACCTTGCAGTGAGTTGGGGCCGGTGTTGTGCCGAATTCTGCACCCCTACCAGATTATGCACACCCTCGTTGAAGCTGGCAGGGTGCAAATTTCGGCACTACACTGAGCCCACCCATATAGACCTATGGGTAAAGATTGCGTTAAACTTTTTATGCAGTAATTAAAAGCAATCTGAAGCGGACTGTATTTTGAGATGCTTAAGAGCTGAAGACTGCCCAACAATCATAAAACACCAGAAAATGCATCATTTTTCTTTTAGCTGAAAGCAAAGGCGCGCTACATTCACGCGGAGGCTTCAGTCTGTTGTGGAATAGCAGAAGCTTTCAACGAGTGAAAACGGGCAGAAATATTTGCGCGCTGTCAGTGTGCGAATTACGGGAGTTTAAAGGGGTCATATGATGCTATTTTAAAGATCATTATTTTGTGTATTTGGTGTAACAGAATATGTTGACATGATTTAATGTTCAAAAAACACATTATTTTTCAAATACTGTACATTATTGTAGGTCCTCTATGCCCCGCCTCTCTCAAACGCGTCGTTTTCAACAAACCACTGAAATTACCTGAGCAGTTGAATTATGTTTCTAAAAAACCTCGTTTATGGACGGGGCAAGAACAAAGTAAGCGTTTAAAATGCATGTATACAGTTCAGTTGAAAACTTACCCATTTTGACTTGCTGTTAATGCTGTTAAATTGAATGTAAGAAACAAACTGCCTGTTTAAGACCACAATGTTAGAAACAACGACACTGAAATAAGAGCTTGTGCGATGAAAGTTGCGTTCGTTACTATAAAGCAACAGTCAGCTCACAAAGCGTTTTCTTTCAGAATTTTCATAGGATAAAAGTAAAAACTGTTACATTTTAAGACGTTTTAAAATCTACATTTTCTGGTCTGCCTCAGCTCCAGCCGTCTAACAGCGCTCATCGATGGCAAGATGATCGAGATGACCAATCAAATCAAAGAAGGCGGGCCTTACTGTTCACAGAAATCGATCGCGCATTTCACCGCGGCGCTTCGGTGAAGGAAGAAGTAGATAAACGTGTATGATTTTTACAGTCTATGGTATTTTACAATTGTTTAACAATGACATAAACGACCAACAATATCCAGTGAATTGCATTGAATGTAGGCCTGTCATTTGTGATTCATGTAATTCATAGCCATGGTCTAAGTTAATTGAATGTGACGACAATAGCGTTTTTCTGTTTTGCGTTTTCAAAATATTAGGAATACAAATAAAATTGAATGGTGCATATTTTAAAATAAATATATTATTTGCAGTTGAGATTGATTACTTTGCAAAAAATCTTATTCTTGTTCTTTTACTGTTCTTTTTTCTTCTTTTAATTGATTCCCCTAAATCAGTTGAAATCCTATATTTATTTAGTTCCTTTAAATAAATACCAGTACCATAGAGGTCTGGTCTTTATTTTCCTCAAAACAATTGGTCCCCCCAATGTTCTAGAGTAGACATTATTATGGCCTTGTTTGGTATATATATATAAAAAAAACTTGGTTAAAAGAATCACCAGTGTAGAAACAATGATCCAGAGAAAGAGAAAAAAGGGCCGTTTTTTACTATTCAGTAAATAAAAAAAAAGTTTATTTTGTTGCGAAAGTTAATGATATTCTATGGTTCGCTATAGGCTGCCCACGAAAGCAGGATATTGCACTTTTTTCAGTGTACATATATCAACAACACTGCAATAAGTTGCATAGTTAAAGAGCAATATCTACAGTCTAAATTTCTAGACTGTATCCCACCCCCTCCCCACCCTCCAAATTGCCCACCCTTCTATAGCGCTTAAGAACCGGGCCTGAGTCAGACCAAGATCATCCTCACAGGGGCTTTGGAGACAGTTTGAGCAGTGTTTTGTTTGAAATATTTCGGAATTTGAGTTACTTTGGAACAAAAGTATATTTCTCATTTAATTTGTTGAAAAGGAGTTTGGGCTCTCGCCTGCTGCGTTAGAATGGCCTACTGAAAAATATATTGGGAAATTTTGTCTTTTGAACAACTGAAACTTGTTTTCTGTACAATGTTGCTTTACAATATTGATTTTTCAATTGAGTCTTACAATTTTATTTTGTAACTTTTGTAAAAAAACAAAAAAAAATCCTCACAACCATAATAAAATCTTGTATGGTTGCTATTAGTGATAATGTTAGCATCTGTCATTCATGTTAACTTTTAACCAAAAGCCTACAGTAGATATTAAATTACGTTTACACGCAAATGCATGAAAAAATGTATACCACATTTTAAATATAGTCTGACTGAAATTAAACTGTTTTTCTTGTTTTGGGAAAGTTTCATGCAATAATTTATGATTCTTAAATTATTTTTAGATGTCCAATGTTTTTTTTTTTTTGTTTTTTTTTGATGCCTTTGAGATCAACTGTAGCAATTTCATCGCTTGTTGGTCAAATTTTTGCATGAATGATGGTTTTTATATTAAAATAAACATGAAAATTGTACAACTGAATTGAAAGATGCATACTGATCAGCTGAATAAAATACATTACTGTTCAAGGTTTTTTTGCTGAAATTAATACTTTAATTCAGCAATGATGCATTAAATTGAATTTTTACCACCAAACTTTTGTATGGTAGTGTATATATTTTGGTAAAAATTATTATTATTATTATATAATTGTCTGTTTCTTTCTTTTTTTCAGATGTCATACCAAACCTTTTGAGCTCAACTGCAATGGATGACTTAGACCACAGTGTGCTGATAGCAGAGCAGGACTGGGACTGTTTCTGTACAGAGAGTGAGGAATGTTCTGTTCAGCAGGCTAAGCTTGCAGCCTTAGATGAGTCTGGCTTCAGTGACACTGACGATGACAAAACCTTTGTCCACGTGTCATCTGTTCCCACCCTGACCAGCCCTGACCAACCCTGTAAAGAAGACAGCATAGAAGGACAAAAGCAGCATCAAATAGGAGAGAATTCAGAGTTTACTGAATATCCTAGTCCTAATTCAGAGCCACAGAATACCAGGTTTGCTGAGCAGATGTCCGATGCTGCAGCAAATGAACCGGGGGCTACATATGAAGACAGCAACCTGACTGAGAAGTTAAACTTAGAGAAATTAAGAGGATATTGTGAGAATAAGGACAATGGTGAGAATAAATTAAGCCAAGCCACAAACACGCCAGTCTCTGAAATGTCTATAGAAGAAATAAAGCATGAAAAGAGTATAGATGGTATAGAAATGTTAACTGAAATGACAGGCAGTTCAACAGTGGCCAAAAAAGAGAAGGAACGTTGGTTTGTGACTGTAAATGACAGCCCAGTCCATCTGAGAGTAAAGGATCCCACCTCAGTCCAAAAAAAAAGAAGAAAAAAAAAACCTAAAAACTTCAGACAGAATACCGGAGTGATGGAGAAGTGCTCTTCCTTAAATAACAATACAGAACCAGATAAAGAAACTACCGAGAGACAAATAACGCAGGAGAAATTTGAACAAGAAAATATTTCTTTTTACTCACCCAATATTCAAAATGTGCTTGATACCCAAGATATTAAATGTATTTAGCACACTGGATCATCTGAGGGTGAAGAGGAAAAAACGTTGTCCTATTAGTCTAAAAAAGGAAAGCATGACAGAAATGCCAGAAGCAAAATTAGAAAAAAATCCCGCCGACTCTCTAAATTCACTTTTAACCCCCAAACAGATGCCACAGACCATATTTAAAGATCTCACTGGCTCTTTGCCACAGTACTGTGATCATGAAAGCGCAGTGTGTGATAAATATGACAAATCCGTAGTAGAAATGAACTGTGAATGTCAACATACAACTGATCATTTAAGCCACCTTAATAATGACACAGAGGTGGAAAGTCCCAGATGTATTCTGGGTGCCTCTAAACCCACTGCTCCTTTAGATACTAAAGAAGAAAAAACAGAACAGCAAGAGCCCTTGGGAAAGTCTTATAATAGAGAAGAATCCCAAGAGACACAATCCTCTAGTAACAGTGCCAAGACTTCAGGTCCATCTCCACCCATATTTGCCATTTCCTCCTTTTGGGATGAAATGGAAAAACTGACAATAAATGATTTTTTGCAACTTAGAACAGCCAATAACAAAACAGAAAGCATCATTCCAGAAGAAAGCAGCCCTGTGGTCACTGTCAACGCTCATCTTCTAGATAGGGGTGAGATGGAATCTAAAGATGATAGTTTAGAAGATGGCCTGGTAGATAACGCAGCAGATTCAGACTATTTCACACATTTGGATGACTAAACCAGACCGATCAAGCTGTGAATTCTCAACTTACTCTGATTTCGATGAAGAGTTTCTACAGCTTCTTCGTGCAAGTGCAAACCCTAGCCCTGAACCCCTTGAAGGCAAAGAGCAAACCCAAAGGTTTCTTGAGTCTGGCATGGATTCAGAGAGTGAATCAAATGAGATGGTGAAGCTGTGTCCTGAGAGTGATCCCTCACTATATTTGTATTCAGAGACAGAAGCAGAGATGCAGGACATACTGTATTTCTAATAGCTAAAGAGGACAAGAACATGAATGCCTTTCTACTGGACCATTGTAGTAGCACAAGGAGATCAACGCCTTCACCAGTTTTATCGATTTCTGATATTCTAGACAATCAGTGTCTGCAGACTCTCTTCGAAATCTTGAGAAGTGACACCGAAGCAGAACAACACCAGAGTTGGATCCCAGATAGAAGCACTTCGCTTTGTTTTTCACAGAACTTATCTGTGGCTGAGACTTATGATGACTTCTTCTCAGACTTTGAAGTTGGGAATTTTCTCTTTCCTTCAATTCAAGTTTCAACAAAGAATGAGAAAACATTGGTTCCTATCTATTCCTCTTCTCATTCGGTGGTGAAAGACCTAGAATATCCAGAGGTAGAAGAGGTGATACCGTTGGATTGTGAAGACGAGAGCGCCCCAATCCGAGGTATGAGGTGTGCAAAGCCCTCTGAAACATCAAACATTTGCTTTATCACTAGTACCTGGAGAAACCTTTCTTTGAGACGCACCAAACTTTTAATGGGAAGGACCTGGTGTAGGATGGCCACCTCTTGGGGTTTTCCCAGGACAGCTGACACAGTCTACGGTTATAGAACGAGAACTACAAGTTCTTCTATAGCTCAGCCAAAGCTTCAAGAGCTTTTTCTAGAGAACCAGGCCCTTGGACAAGTGACAGAACATCAGATACGTGTTGGGGCAACGGTCGCAGACGCAGGTACATTCTTAGAGCATTTATTTTTTATTTTTTAGATTAAATAGATATGAAAATGTCAAGTCTAACATTGCAAACTTCTGCTTACAGATAGAGATCGTGCTCTTTTTTTATTAAAGCAAACAGACATGTGCCTTGTTTGCATTGCTTTTGCATCTTGGGTACTAAAGTCAAGCAACCCACAATCTACAGACATGTGGAAAGCAGGTAAAACCAGCATGAGGATGAGGCACTTGTGCAATGAGACAATGATCAGGCTGTTACATATTAAATTAGGCAATTTATTCAGATAATATGAGCACACAAAATTAACATGATCCTTTTTCCCTCTATTATTTCTCAGCTATTCTGGCAAACGTGAGCGCGATATCTGCCATCCAGTACTTGCGGCGATACGTAAAAGAAGGATGAACCATAAAAATCTAGTATTAGCGCTTAAGGGGCCAGTGTACAGGAAAGCGTTAATTTTGCACAAATTCACAACAAACACTTTAGTAAATACACATATTAGATTGTATTCCATATTTACTAACAGTCTAATATTTTCATGTTTAATATATTCATGTTACAAAATAGGTGTTCAATCAATAAATAACTTATCAAAGGACAATTCTGTTAAAGAAAAGCATACAAAGCAAAAGGAGGAAACATTAGTTTTTTTCCCGTACAAACACTTGTTCAGTTAGAAGACATATATTGCTTTAGATATTATGTTGATATGGACCAGAAATGACAACTGGTAAGTTTTGCGTCAGTTATATTCAGGACTCAAGCTGTTCTATACATATTTATGTAATTCACAAGTAAACTATTTTGCAGTGTACATATAAAAAACATTTTCAATGATGATCACTCTAGATGTATCTATTAAATGAGAAAAAAATAATGCGGCCAAAGCTTAAAAAAAAGTTAATAGAGTTTTTCAGTGAAGAAACCGATTTGAGCACATTTCATGAAGAATATAAATTTGCACATAAAATATAGTTGGAAGTTAAGGAGGTATCAGAAAGTGCCAGAAAAATATGACTGCTGCTGAATGTCAAATATTTTTATCACACATAAGCAAAGACTGATGTCAGTGTGATAAATGTATATAAAACAGCCTCAAAAATTATGCTTACAAAAAACTAATTAATATATTACTAAAAGAAAATGTACTGATGAAAAAAATGAAAAGATCCGAGTTCGTGTTAATGGATGAGTAAAAATGATTCAAGCCATTTGTAATAAGCATGCATTTATCATTGAAATGAAAGTTTTGAAAAAAATTCCAACTGTAAGGTAATTGCAACCAGACAATACTGTGCATGTGAAGACAAGTATGCATAAAGACATGGATACTAAAATGAGAAATTATATCCAAATATGAGAAAAATATCCATATACTTTGTAAAATGCTACTACAAATGTTTAGCGTTAACTCGAACAAAATAATGACTTTTTGGCAGTTTTGGAAAAAAGTGACGCATCAAAGTTCCACAATAACATCATTAACAGATAACACTCTTTAACTGTCTGCTTCAACACATACAAAACAATGGCACTCCATTTCATGTTTTCTATTGTTGTTTTAACAATTAATAGTAGTGCACAACAATACACCTGTATTGCATTAAAGCGTCACAAAATTACTCTTTCTCTCTCTATTGACTTTATAATGAATTTCATCTTATTGTGAGAATGCTGTGCTCTTTCCCAACCAGCATGACTATAAAAAATGTAACTTACTCAGCAGTAGCCCAGTTGTTTAATTGGCCAAGTGCACATGCTAGGATTGAAGCTGGTAGTGAAGATACCATCAGATATGCCATGAGCATTTTATTGCTAAGTGCAGGTACCTCTTTATAAATGAACTTCCTAAACTTCTATGCCAAGTAGGGTTGACCCAGGAACTGACCTGCTCTATCAAATTGTGTCCTTAAGCATGGCAGTAAACACTGCAAGCAGGTGACTGTCGGCCTGATCAGTCTTCCACAGCATCGTATGACCAAGGCAGTGAAGCAACTGTTCTGCAGAGCTAGACAACACTACAGTCATCATACTAATACCCAGCCTGCATTTGGTCTACATTATTAAATTAAAAAAGCTAAACTGCTGAAAGAATAAGGTATTGTGGAGTTTACATGTGGGTTTTACTGTATATTGATGAGCACTCTGAGGTAAAGATGAAGAGGCTGTCAGAGAAAGGGAAGGACAGAGTATGTAAAGCATGCACTTCTTGCACACAAGTCATATGAAGTTTTTGTATCCAAATCTATCATTGCAACTTTTAAATTTCAAGTTAATATATTATTTTAAACATATATTTACAATCTTAAAACGAGTGTTTCAATAAACTTTGAAACTAAATTGTGATAAACTCTGGATATTGGACAGCACTTTTCAAATACTTAGTAAATCTACAATATTGTGCTTTTAGCACAATAATGACATTACATGGGAATTTAATTTCTTACAGAAACTTCTAAATTACAGAAATTTCTAAATAGTGTTCATGCAAGGAAAGAAAATTCAGTGTGCTCCAAAAGGCTAGTTATTTCATACAGCACAAAGGAGTCGGTCAAACGTTTATAAAACAGGGATAAACCCACGCTGGGTTTTCTGAAATATAAGGTCTGATACCCTGAACACAGAATCACTCTGTAATCCACAGTGGAGGATTTGTTCATTTCAGGACTGCTTGTCTCCCTCTTTCTTCAGACGGCTGTCAAAGGGTAAACAACTTTTTTTACTTTATGTTCCCAGTCTTATTGTAAATAATTTGTTTTTATTTGTTCTGTACATGCTACTTTAAAGAACAAATATTTTTGCAATCTTTCATCAAAACATCTTGCTAAGTGCTTATTTACAAATGCACTCTTGAACAGAACGTTAAGGTCTCTGTGGTTCACCTGTAGTAGTCTTCTTGGCTTGGGAGAGGAGCACTATGTAAGTGTGCATGTCCATGTAGCCACTGCTGCTCCAGTGCCAGCCTCTGCAGTTCTGCTGACTGTGCCTGCATCGCCTGCAACTGATGCGCAGCCGACATAGGAGCCAGGGGTCCTGGTAACTCTCTGGGGAATGGTGCTCCTATTAAAGAAAGAGAGAATATCTTACTTCAGTTACTCTTCCCTCAAATTGCTGAGAGCTATTTCCTACCGTGGGACTGTAATGTGTATGTAGGTGCTGGATGGTCTTGTGAGACAACAATAGAGTAACAACGGGTTGACAAACATTACTGCATTACATTAAGGATGTACATTTCAGCCATTTTGGCTATTTGAGTAATGAAAGTCACAATGATTATTATCATCAGCAAAAGACAGGCCAGACAGAATCTATAGACACTTTTGAACTGATTTGGAGGGAGGGACATTCAATGTTTGTATTAATATTAAATTATAGACAGTATAGTATACATTTAAAAAATGTTTGGGTTAGTATGTGTTTTTTTTTTTATAATTTATTACTTTTATTAAGCAAGGACGCATTAAGTTGATTAAAAGTGACAGTAAAACATTTAATGTTACAAAAGATTTAAATTTCAAATAATTGCTTTTCTTTTAATTTTCAATTCATCAAAGAATTCTGGAAAAATATATCAGTTTCCTCAAAAAATATTAAGATGCAATGTTTTCAACATTGATAATGATAAGAAATATTTCTTGAGCACCAAATGAGCATATTAGAATGATTTCTGAAGGATCATGTGACACTAAAGACTGGAGTAATGGCTGCTGAAAATTCAGCTTTGCCATCACAGGAATAAATTACATTTTAAAATATATTAGAATTAAAAACAGTTATTTTAAAACAAATAAACCTTTGATCGAATAAATGTAGCCTTGATCTTAAGACACTACTTTAAAAAAAAATCTCACAGACTAAAATATAAATAATATTAAATCTTAATCTTAAATATTAATTCCACAGAACTGATTTAAACATTGTTAAATGTGTTAAAAGGAGCTGAAAGTACTACATTCTTATTGGCTGCTGAAAGAGTAACATTTTATTTTACTTTAAGAAAGTGACTTCATGCAAGTGATGGGATATGGCTAATCAAAGGGCAGGATGTTTCACTGCTCAGCAGTGGACATCGTTTAGGCCTGGCTATACGGGTTGGAAATGTAAATTATTCAGAATTAACTTTAAACTTTCTTTAATACTACATGTGAAACAGGGAGTCTATTTGGTGACTCACCAAACAGAGGGTGGCGGAGCATTTCATGCTCATGGGGTAACTCACTGAGTAGGGGGTTGGAGATGGCACCAGGTGGGTAGGGGAATCGTGCCAGAGGGGGGCCAGCAGCCAATGGGTCCACCAGAGGATGAGGCCCTTGGCCTGAAAGACCAAAACATTGACATTTCCATTTACTTTCTTCAATTTTTTTTATCTAAATAACTGTTAACCTATATCTCTGAAGTTCTGACCTTGATTGAGAGGGTCCTGTTGGTGCAGATGAAGATGGGAGTGTATATGTGAGTGTTGGTGGTGGTGTGGTGTAACATTGAGCATCTGTAGCCGTGCAACAGGGTCACCAGCAGCAACAGAGGCCATCCTTTCAGCATGGAGTCGTTCAGCTGTCAAACGCTCAGCGTAGCTGATTTCCGGCCGAGGGGGTGCCACTATGCTGCGCTCCATGGCTGGGTGAAACTGGGCGTAGGGGTGAGGCCCAGCCACATGAGGCAGAGCCAGGGCTCCATGGCGGGCGAAATGCTCCATGGGATTTGCCGATGGATGAAGTAGGTTCTCCAACTCCGGTGGTTTCACCTCAAATCCAGGCTTCATTCTTTCTCGGATCTCTCTCTCTCGAAGTTCACGAAGCTCTCGCTCTCGAAGGGCTGGGTCTGCTGCGTACAGCCCTGGCATGTGATAAGCTAGCAGGTGCTCACCCGGCCCAATTGGCATGAAGAAAGGATGGTTGCGGTTGGTGGGCGACATGACGTGGGGGCGGGCGTACTCGCTGAGTGTGCGGAGGGCTGGAGTGTCAGGGCCGAGATATGGTGGAACTGCAGCCACGGTGGTGGGGGGAGGAGGTTCGAATGACGGACGGCCTGGTTGCACATGGGCAGCAAGCAGGTGGTCACCTATTCGGCCATCATGGGATGAGCTTGAAGCACGCTATGTGAAGAAAAAAAAAATGTTTTATAAAAAAGCAAAAAAGGTTTTATATTATAAACTTCTTTAAAGAGAGATCTTTATCAAAATTAGTTTTTTTTAAAGATAAAGCAGATCTGTAACTGGCAACCTGTATTAAATAAATTTGAAACAGTGTAGGCGTAAAAGGATAAAAATATATTTTTTTGCATTACAGTACTTGGCATGACAGTACTGTAAAATACAGAAATTGTAAAATAAATAAACTAACTAAAAACATTTTTTTGGGTAAACTATAATTTTTTTTCTTTTTTCTGAAATGTCAAACTCAAAAGTAAATGCCACATGTACTTACAGAGGCTTTATCAGAGTCTCTCTCCTTTTCTCGCTCCCGCTCTCTTTCTCTCTCCCTCTCATGCTCTCGTTCTCTTTCTCTCTCTCGTCCCTGTCGAGCGCTCAGCTCTGCTTCTCTTCTGGATTTTTCAGCAGCTTCCTCTCGTTTTTTGGCCAGTTTTGAAGAGGCCAATGGGGTAAAGTACAGGTCTGTGCGAGAGCAGGAGTTGTAACCTCGGCTGAGGTGTTTGATGAATCTGCAATTGACAAAACAGAATTGACTTTGTATGCTGAATTACACAATTATTTGCATCTTAGTGAATAGCATTTTGTTAGAATATAAAAAATATTTTAGGCTACTACATTGGGAAACCTTTTTTGTATATTTGTAATTTTATAAATATTTAAAATTTCAAGTATTGACAAATGTGATCTCTATACCTTGCTGACTGACTTGCGTGACTGGGTATGCCAACCACTGTCGGTACTGGAGAGGGACTTCTGCGAGGGGGAGGCGGGCTATCGCACTCTTCCTCCTCATCAATTGGCTCCTCTTTGATATGAGCCTGTCCAACAGGAGTGCTTGCTGAGGAGGATGTGGAGGGCTGATGGGCAGGGATGGGAGAAGCATACAGAGGGAATGAAGCAGTGGACTCAGTTGCAGGACGATTTTGGGGAAGCAATGGGTGAGAACTAGCTGAAGCTGGAGGGGCACCACTAGTATGACCTTTGACCTGCTGGCTCTGCGACTGAGTCAGAACAGAAGGTTGAGCGGGGTGATTTTGTGGAATTATATGCAATGGAGGAGGCTGGGAACAAGGCAAGTGTTGTGAGGGCAGGGAAGCAAGTGGTTTTAGAGCAGGAGGTGGAGGAAGATTGGGGTGGATCTGCAGGAAATGGGGTGAAGGTGCAGAAAGGTGAGGGGGCTGCTTGTGAGAAGGTGGAATTGGAGTGGTCGGAGGGGGCTTGATTTGGGATGCTGCTGTAGGGGGAAGAGGAGGAAGAGGGCTCTCTCTTTGAAGGTGCAGCGGTCTGGATGCAAACCCTGGTGGCTGATTTGCCCCAGATGAAGGATTCTGCAGCTGACCTGGATTATGCTGATAATGGGGCGGCACAGGGAACGACTGCCCCTGCCCTGGACACTGCACCTGCTGAGACGAGGAGTTTGAATAAGCGGTGGGAGTTTCAGGTCCCCTGGGACCACTTCTGTAAGCGTTTGGAGATGGAACCTCCTGGGAAACCTCTACGGATGGTGCCTTCGAGGTGGTGGTAGAAGCTCCAGGTGAAGGTGCGGATGAGGATACAGGCAGAGAGGGCTGAGGAGATGGTGGTGTTTCAGATGGGGCATGTGTTGTTGGGGTTGCAGCAGGCTGCTGGGGCTGGGATTGTGGGGTTGGGCCTGGTGCAGGGGGCGGTGCTGGGGAGTCCGAGTCGCTTTCGTTGGCCTGCAGGGGACTGGCCAGGCTGGGGGAGGAACTGCGGTTGTCCTGATCAATGTCTTTAGTGTCACTGCTGCCATCATCATTGGCGCTGCGGCTATCGGAGCTCTCGCCTTCACCCTCACCTTCTGATGGAGAATCAGGACCCTCCTGGATTAGAGATACACTACTTAAAATCTAGACGTCATGGCAGAACTATATGGATAGACATTATTATCCGTTACAGCCAATAAATGGTCAATATTAAAATTCTGTATTATTTTGTAAAAAAAATTATAATTTGATCAATAACGAAATACACTAGATTACAAATAAAACACACTAGAAATATATGTAGAAGTAATTTAAATGTCACAACATTATAATGTACAGTATGTATTCATGCGTATGCGTATATACATACACACATACATTATATAGATTATATGTGTGTGTGTGTGTATACACACATACAGTACATGCTATGTATTATGCATTATAATGTAAATGTATATGTACATTTATAATATATTGAATTATTAGTGTATTTTTGTGTTCAGTAAGTGAGTATTAGATGACGCCAATGTAATCTAAATGTAAAAATAGGTAGAAATGAACATGCACAATTAATATCCAACATAACAATAAACCAAAATACAACATACCACTTAGCAAAGTTTTTCATACTTAAGCCTTTATATTTTTATACATTAAATACTTTTTATATTTAAGACTTTTTATGAAGTTTCCCTTACCTGATTCTTAGGTCGTTTCATGTTTTTCCTTTCAGGCTCATCAGCATCTGGAGCTGCCGACTCTCTCTGTCTTTTCACACCCTTTACTATAGATGCCTCTACTTTTATCTTCTAAAGTTTAATAAGAAAAAAAATGGAAATGAAAAGGTTAAACAACACAAAAAGGATGAATACACAGCTGTGCACTTTTTATAAACTCTAAACTGAGCAGGTTCCTTTTTATCACTACCTTGTTGGTCTTCCCAGCCACTCCATTCTTGATATCAGTGCTGGAAGCCCTGGTTGCGATAGCAGTGGAACTTGCTCTGGGGGACTGTCCATTAGATCGCACATCCTCGAGGGTGGGAGACATGCCCCTGTCGGGACTTCCGGTTGGTCTGTTGCGCCCACTTCGAAGTGATGACATCTACATGTAGAGACAAAGGAAGGCTAAATTAAGCAAACTACTCTTTACATTACCCTGAGCACAACTAATGTGGAAGATAGACCTACATGTGGTGGCACCCGGCTCCGACGGGTCTTCATCCCATGTCTGACTCCCTCTTCCTCTTCTTTGACAGGTTTGAAGAGGTAGGGCGGATCTGCTGGTTTGGGAACAGGTGGCAGGCGCCGATGCTTGCTGAAGTGAGAGTGGCAACTAGAGCAAAGCAAGATATTGTCTCTCCCTCCATGATGCCAGTCTTTGGAGTCTGAAAGAAACATTTGTGTGAGTCATACTAAAAGAGAAGACTCATACAAAGTCAGCAAAGTTAAAAGGCTGATGGTTAACTGATATTTGTAACCTATTTCACATCTGTAATTTAATATATTGTACCGTTCAAAGGTTTTCTGAAAAAAGTATGTTATGATCACCAAGGCTGCATTTTTTGATTAAAAATAAATTAAGAACTATTATTGTGACAATTTAAAATAACTGTTTTCAATTTCAGTATATTATTTATTACTGTGACGGCAAAGCTGAATTCTACTCCAGTATTCAGTGTCACATGAGCCTTCAGAAATCATTCTAATATGCTGATTTGGTGCTTAAAAACATTGCTTCTTATTATCAATGTTGTAAATAGTTTTGTGGCCTACTATTTTTGAGCATTTATTTGAAATAGAAAAGGGTGAAAAACTTACCAGTGGTCAGACAGTGACTGCAGGCTTGACCTTTGCCACCCTGCTCACTATCCTCACTGTCCAGATCATCTTCACTTGCTGAACTAAGTTCCACTACAGACAGGGAGACAGAAAACACAAATAAATTAATTACATTACTTCTTGTGGAGTTACTGCCTTTAAATTATAACTACATCAGATTTGCAATCATGTTTTGACAGTCTGCAATAATAAATGCACAGACATATGGTGCATAGTGCCACACTTACTGGAAGTGCGAGATGTTGCATTGGCTGCAGCTGTCGCGTTGCGAGTTTTCACTTTGCGAGACACCGGCTGCCTTCTCTGCTGCCGATGAGGTCGTGACGCCACGGCTTCAGGAGATTTCTTCCAGTAGTAGTAGAATGTGATTAGCTCACCCTGAGATGACAAATATGTTTTAAAAAAATAAAAGACTGAAGCTAACACACATGTATAATTAGATTTGAAAAGGCAGGTTTCCATACCGTTTTCTTACTGGGAAGTAACTCCTTACGGATCTTAAAAAAGTTTTTGCCATACTGTCTGAGACCTTTGATAAACCGTTTCTGTAATTGAACATGATAACTGATTGAGAAATCTTAATATTGACTTTTTGAAAAGTTCTAGTATCATTTCACTATAAATTACCAGGCTATATCAGTGACAAATGTCAAGATAGAAGTGAAAAATACAGATTCAGTTTCTCACCACTTCATCTTCTGACCAGCACTTCTCAATGAGTTTTGGAACTGGTTTCTTCACCAGACACTGCAGGGCTTTGGCTGCAACGTACTGGCTTTCATGGAGCTGTGCACAAAACAAAATAAAATTACATACCCTAGTTGCACAGCAAATTAATTATAGTTGAGATTAAAAGTAAGGTTTTTTTCAATTAAATTACATCAAAGATCATAAATTACAATCTATATTCAATTAAACTTTTAACATTTTTCTTAAAAATACTACAAATTGAATTAATTTGAATTCAGTGGAATTAGTGATTAAAATTAATTTTATGATAAAATATAGCAAAATTACAAGCACTGACTGTATTTAAAGCATTTAATGTGGTATCATCCCGGGAAGCCGCAAGACAACCATCCTCTGTTGAACCTCCATCACACATCCCTGCAAAAGCTGCCATGCTCCTGTTTATTCAGAGAACACAGAACAAAAATGCAGAAGATTATGTTGAATCACACACCATCCACAGACACCTCAGATCCCTTTTTAGACATACCCTCAAGCGATTATGAAGATAAATGTAAAACGGTGAACAGAAACTGGCATCCAGCCAAGCAGCCATTACCTGGCAGCCCGTAGGTACATGAGAAGGTCACAGTCATTGACCCCAGGTGCCCACACCAGCTCCTCATTTTCTGTGACGGACTCTGTTCCATGAGCAGGTGGCGGCTGTAATTCAGGTAGCTTGGCCTGCATATGATAATATAATGGTCAAAAATATAAGATAACCGAGTGTATTTAAGGTCTTTAAAAGGTACACTCAGTAAATTGTTAACATTTCGATTTGTCCCATTACTACCAGTGGTTTTGAACTTTCAGCATGACTGTTGCCTCTTCCAGACCGGAGACATGCTGACATATATGGGATTACATCTCTGCCACAATTCTGTGCGCGAAAGATCATATTTTGAGCGCGCAAAAGTGCGTTTTGAGCACGCAAAAGTGCGTTTTGCACGAGCGCGAACTGAGTTTTGTGGAGAAAATGTTTCTCTCGCAAAGAAGAAAGTATTTTGAGCGCACGAAAATCAATTTTGCATTTAAAATACGTTTTTTGATGTGTGCAGACCTTCTCTTTTGTGAGTGCAACGTTTCACTAGCTTGCTCACCTGATGCCTGCCCTCAGTGCTCTCTAAATGCCAACAGCTTGCTTGCTCAACACAACCCAGCGTTACAATATGCCATAATTCCAGCCAATCAGAGACGAGGCTGCTAAATTCTGATTGGCTGCCTTGACAACCAATCACAACATTCCTTGCATTACCTCGACAGCAGAATAGGAAAAATACAGTGCATGCATAATTATTATGCAAGTTGATATTCTGATCATATTTTTTTCCAAGCACATTTGACCAATTCCAAACGACATCAATCTTAATAACTACTATTAATCTTGTATTTAATCATTTATAATTGATATATAATTATTAATGAAGGCTGGAAGTGAAAAATGTCTTATATTAAGGTGTGCATAATTATTAAGCAGATTTTCTTTTACAGATAAAATAAGCCAAAAAAGAGATTTAACTCAGACTGAAAGTAAAAAATTATTATGATAAATATTCAAAACTAATAAAATTCTAGAAATTGCAACGTTAATGCATAACCATTGGACAGCAAAATGCTCAGTGGGTCAGTCAAAAACATGTGGAGAAGAAAAGATGCATGTTAACTGCAAAAGAATTAGGCTGTATTTTTCCTTTTCTGCTGTCGTGGTAATGCAAGCAAGGAATGTTGTGATTGGTTGTCAAGGCAGCCAATCATAATTTAGAAGCGTCGTCTCTGATTGGCTGGAATTATGGCATATTGTAAGTAACGCTGCGTTGTGTTGAGCAAGCGAGCCGAGAGCACTGAGGGCGGGCATCAAGGGAGCAAGCTAGTGAAACGTGACATATAGCATTCTTTATTTATAAAACTTTTTTAATTATCAAAAATAATTACTGACTGCAACTTTAAAGGGGTCATCGGATGCCCATTTTCCACAAGTTGATATGATTCTTTAGGGTCTTAATGAAAAGTCTATAATTCAGATGTCGGGAGTAAATGACGACTGCTATGTTCATTATTACATCCAACAACAAAACACTTCAATCACTTAGGAGACATTCTTGTCTACATCTGCTCCGGCAGTGAAACAATGGCGGACTGATGACAGCTCACTCAGGGCGGGTCTAAGGTAAGACACCAGTCCAGTCTGTGCGGAAACACCACTGTCAATCAACAATCGTGGGAGGGGCCTTCGTCCGTGTGACATCACACAGACAGGCATCTGAGATCGGCTTGATTTGAGAAAGGGGAAATGATTTTAGTAGATTAAAAAAAAAAACCACTGGGTGGATTTTTATCATCATAGGGTGGTTGTGTACACATACTGCCAACACACATTTCAGTTCAAACAACTTGTAAAAGTGCATGTCGCATCCGATGACCTCTTTAATACACTGCATATCTGCAAATACTTTTGGAAACACTTTGTAACCATTTTACCTGATGACTTGGTCCCACTCGAATCTCTCCTTGTGTGCTGTTCAGCTGCCTGAAAGACAAAATATTATTTATTAAATGAAATATGGCTGTGCAAGTACATTAATCAATCAGTACATTAACATTTCAAGGCTGAAGCAATACTTACAGCCAACATTCCACAGGTGAATACTAAAAAATTATGCCTGTAATAAACAATACATGAATACAAATACCATATTTAAAAGAAACATGCTAAGTTAAAAACTGTCCCTGTCATGTGAGCTGTTTCAGGTCCCTGTTTTCCACCCTTTTAAATCGCCTCCTTTCAGTGTTAATCATAAAATGTGATTTGCCTATCAGCAGTCGCGATGATCAATCCAAATCCCGCCTACATAGCATAACCAGCCAATCAGCGTCCGACTTCTCCGTTCCCTCCAAAGGTTATATAAACGGAGGCTTGGACGTCCAGTTCATATATTTACACATAAATCATTACATTGTGTGTGCACAATCAAACACAGTGCAAATCAAAATCAGTACGCTAAACTTACAGTGCGATGTGCACAAACACCGTTCGCTGTGTAATAATTTTGGGCGAAAGAAAATATTATGCTAAAACAATTTCCTGGACAAATATTTACGGAACAGACGAACAAAACTAATTTGTAAGAGCAGCACCGCGTTCAACATGCATTACGTAACTTACTTAGCAGTCAGCAACAGTATCTACACAACATCTGCCCCATTTTATCTCGTCAGGCTCTTAGCTGGCCTTTGCGTGTGTGTGGCCGAGCGAGACGAGCTGTCAAGTTCAAAATCATCTCGGTTTGCACTAGAATGCAAAAGTATTCACGGTGTAGCAAAAAGCGCTGGCGCGCGCAAAACCACACATCTTTAATAAAAAGAAGCAACAAACCTTCGCGGACTGAACAGGTCGTCCATGGCAGAGGCTGTTTCGCTAGAGCTTACAGTTTGTTTGCTGCGGCGGCTCAAAACTATGCTTTCCTCTATTTCATACTACTCAAAATGGAGGCTGCGCGGAGTATCTTTTCCTCAGCGCAGGCGATGACCTCAGTGTTCACGCACAGCCTACTGAGATCCCCTTCAACAAGCATAACTGAGCATGTGCCGCTGCAGCCAGCGCTAATGGGATCATCTCCGTGTCCGCTGTCTATGGAGATCAGCTTCAGGGAGATGTGTTTGTTTGGCCATCCTCCCGTGTCAATATTCACACCAATATGGATGTCTCGATAAATTATTTAACCTCCCTAGTCTTGATGCCATTCCTTTGCAGATTTGATAAAAGACACCGTGCATGAACAGTGAAGAATAACAAATCTCGTCTTGTTATAGTCAGTGTGTGGGTTGTAGGATATAAATACAGTGCGTGTAGATTTAAAGAACTGCCACTGTGGAGACGGTGGATTTATTTCGGCTCAGTGGAATTAGACTAGACGCTTTAAATGCAGCCCCGTCTGCTTAGATGGCTTCATACATCCCTACAGCTTTACTGTTAACAAGAGGGCCGGTGAATTATTATTAAATAATATTAATAACAATAATAATTGTATTATCATTATTATTATGTGGATCATTATTACCTCTTTTTTTAACTAATTCCAAAGCATTATTTTACCACTAGTTTTGTTCCATTTTAAATCACCTTAAAAAATTGTAGAAGTGATATTGAAAAGTAATGCTGTCATGATCTGGAATTACTTTATAGCCATGCAATTTTAGAAAACTATCAACCAATCAAAATAGAGCATTCATCAGCGTTTTGGTTATAAAAAAAAATTAATAAATAAAAATTGGTATTTCCGTCTGCACAAGACATGCTCAAACCTGTCAGAAACAGGCAAAAGGGAGACTATTTAGATTATGATACTATACAAAGGCCTTTCATTAGTTGAGGTAATGTTTTTATTTTAACAGTATCCACTATCACAAGCACAGACCTCAGGAATCTGCTGTGCAGCATTTACAGGAAAATACTGTTTGCTCTTTTTTGCAATACAATCATCATCACACAAGTACACGTAACACTCATCCAAATTGACACCATCACAAAGTTTATGATGCTTGTTTCTGTTTCCTTGATGATACGGTCCCTGTAACCACCCAATCTTTAGTTATAACACATACTGCTTTCTGTTGTATTGCCACATCTCAAACTGAACTATTAGTACGTTTACTGTAGAAGGGTAAGTAGTTCTAATTGTACTACTGTGGTCTCAGTTCAGTGGATTTCTGAAGTTCTTCCCAGCAAACTGAGCTTTATCCCCCAGTTCCTCTTCAATTCTGTGCATGAAGAAAACAAGCAGGTATGCGAAAAAAGTGAAACATATGCTCATGTATGCCTATATGTTACCAAAAATAATTTTATTCTAATAGAATTATCTGTAAGCTTACCTGAGGATCTGGTTGTATTTGGCCAGACGCTCTGAACGGCATGGGGCTCCTGTTTTAATCTGATTAAGAAGAGGGAAAATAAAGAGTTAATTACCTGAACATGAACAGGTAACCTTAAAATTAAATTCCTACATTTTATGATCAATCTAAAGCATATTCAGTACCTGTCCAGTGCAAAGTCCCACAACCAGGTCAGCAATGAACGTGTCCTCTGTTTCCCCAGAGCGATGACTCACCGTCACACCCCAGCCATTGGACTGAGCCATCTTACACCTGTGGGGGGATGTTACAAATAGTTCACAAACTTTTTTTTTTTTTTTATTAAACTATTTAGGATTTTTCACTGGGATTTATGGAAGGATATTCCAGACAATTTTCAAAAAGGACTTGCAAATTGTATTTTCAATTGAGTTTTCCATATGTGGATGCATAAATTGTAACATAATCTAAACGCAATTGCAAATCTTGCTTTACCGTTTTTGTTTGCGTTTTCGTGAACGCACAGTGACTGCCAAATTTCAAATGAAAAAGCAAAGTCCATTTGCAACTGTATTTCCCATGTCTTACGAGTTATGAGCCTGTCATATCTAAATAGCAATATTAATTACCACATCTACTTCAGCGCTACCGAACGCTTTATTTTATATTATATTATTACATTATATTCCTCACTTTTAATCCGTAAAGGAGCACACGTTGCGCCTACTTCAAGATCTTTTACTGTTTGCACTCCGATTGAAGCACATAAGCAATCAGACAGTACAAATCTATACTTATTTGCCCAATTTCCACCTTACCTTATATTTTATTCAATCACTTTAATCAATTATGGAGTGTGCATCCTATACACGTAAGCGTCACACCTGTCTCAAGATCTCTCACTGTTTACAGCTACTGGACACACCGATTGATGCATGTGATTTTTAATATTAACTCACCTTGGCCGTGGTATGTTCCGTGACAGCTGCGCCTAGATCTGACTGGTGAAGTGTCATCTGAGGCAGGCAGAGTATTAGCAGCAGCATGTTCTGTTTTGTCACATGCATCAATCGGAGTGTAAACAGACAGAGATCTTGAGGCAGGTGCTCCATTATAAGATAGGAATAAGATACAGGTGGCATATAGGTAAATAAGTGTAGATTTGCACTGTCCATTTACTCACTTGCATCAATCAGAGTGTAAACAGTGAGAGATGTTGAGACAGGTGAAAAGCGTTTGGTTAATAGTGAATATTGACCTATTGTTTGTACCGTTATGGCTGCTGCTGTTAGCAGGGGATAATTGCTGCATTTGGGCTAAAAAAGACAGAATTATTTATTGTGTAAGGTGCCAAGAAGGTTGCACTGTCTGTTTGTTCACACAGGCAGGAACTGATTGGCAGCTGCCTTTAGCGAAGCCTTTACCGATTACCTTCATTGTTCAAAGCAATCGACACGATCATCTGTGAGTGACGTCACCTCCCAATACAAACACGCCCCATAGTATAGTCCCGCCCCTGACACTGAGTGACAGGTTTCCATGTAGACACCGGAAATTCAAATGCTAAAGGAATTGCGATTCCATTTGGGTTTTGGCAGGTTACATGCATGACGCTGAGAGAGTGATAAAGCAGATGTGGTAATTAATATTGCTATTTAAATATCACAGGCTCATAACTTGTAAGACATGGGAAATACAGTTGCAAATGGACTTTGCTTTTTCATTTTAAATTTGGCAGTCATTATGTGTTCGCGCAAACGCAAACGGTAAAGCAAGATTTGCAATTGCATCTGGATTATGTCACAATTTATGCGTCCACATATGGAAAACGCAATTGAAAATACAATTTGCAATTCCTTTTGAAAATTGTCCAGAATATTCTTCCATAAGGATTAGAAAGTCCACACTGAAATTCTGGAAAATATATGGACAAAGTGTTAAGATTTTGCCAAAATCATGAAAAAGCTATATACTTTAAATTGATATGTGGTATCAGTATAAGGTAATATAGGGTTTTTTAGGGATCAGGGTTTTGAACTCACGCCTGCAGGGATTCGGTAACACTTCCAATCTGGTTGACTTTGAGCAACAGGCAGTTGCAAGCCTTCTTCTCCACTGCGTCAGCAATGCGTTTGGGGTTAGTGACAGTAAGATCATCTCCCACCACCTGTATGTCCGTGCTGTTGGTAAAACTGGTCCAGGCCTCCCAATCATCTTGATCAAAGGGGTCCTCAATGGAGACCACTAGAGTAATGATAAGAATGAAGTCACATCTCTGCGTCTGCGCTCAAAGAAAAAAATAGGTAATGTCATTAAATAAGAGAGCAAATGACTGACGAATACCTGGATAATCCTGAATAAAACTTTTGTAAAGGTCAGCAAGCTCATCAGGGCTGATGTATCGATCCGGGTCATCAGGAGACTTGAAGTCCAAGTCGTACTTTCCGTCGCGATAGAATTCGGATGCTGCCACATCCATGCCAATCAAAATCTCATCTGTGTATCCAGCTTTACTGATGGCACTCTTTAGCAGCTCTAGGGCTATTATAAGCATACAGAAAAGAGCAATATAAAGTTGTAAGTCATTTCAGCTGTATAGTCTCAAACAGTGCGATTTGTTTTTTCAGATACCTTCTTGGTTCTCCAGGATGTTTGGTGCGAATCCTCCCTCATCCCCAACGTTGGTGGCATCCTTGCCATATTTCTCCTTAATAACATTCTTCAAATTGTGGTACACCTCTGCACCAATGCGCATGGCTTCCTTAAAGCTACTGGCCCCGACGGGCAGAATCATGAATTCCTGCATGGCCAACTTATTGCCAGCATGTGAGCCACCATTGATCACATTAAAGGCCTTTGGGAAAACAATAAGCAAAATTCAATGGGAGAATAACATTTTATCCCATAATTTGCTTTCCTACTTTTATTAAGATTTAAATAACAAAAGAAAGCAAATAGGAAAACTGTCTGTATGGCTTAAGCCCCATTCACACCAAGAACGATAACTATAAAGATAACGATATTAGCGTCCACACCAGCGAACGATATCGTCTGTTTATTCTAAGCACATGCTCGTCTGCCGCTTTAAATTCTCGAGCTTGTTACAGCAGGATGGATTCTAATTGGCTGTCATTTTTTATCGTTCATCAGCTGGAAAAAAATTGTTTTGAAAGTGATTCCAACGATATCGTTTCTCTTTGTCTTTATCATTATAGTTGTGGTGTGGACTCTGCTATTCTTTAATATTGAGAACAATTTTTAGAACTATATCGTTATCTTTATAGTTATCATCCTTGGTGTGAACGGGCCTTTAGGCTACTTGTAAAATCTGAAATTATTCATGAGGACAAAGCTGGTCTGCACTTAAAATACCCTCTTAAAATAAAAAGACATAATATCTTTGAGCTCAAACACAATCGAATTAATGATCTTTTAACATTTTCAGTCGCATGACACTTTTCCGTATTGTACAATTTCAAATACAAAACTTTTATATTTCTCACCGGCACAGGCAGGATGACCTCAGGGTTTCCAGCAAGGTCAGCAATGTGACGATACAGAGGAACACCTTTCTCTGCGGATCCTGCCTTACACACAGCCAGGGACACACCAAGGATGGCGTTGGCACCAAATTTAGCTGATATTCGAAACAGACACAGGAATTAAAAGGACTATGACTAGACACAACCCCTAATATTTGCAATACTTTAAATTTGGAAAACTATCACTTTTTTCTTTGAATTTGCCTTTTTTTGTGACAATGTTTTCAAATGTACTCTACCATTCAAAAGTTTGTAATAATTTTTTATGTAATAGTGTGTGATAATTGTGTGTAATAATTTTTTAAGTTTTTGAAAGACACTTCATATGCTC